CGGTAATGCGCATGTGGGTATCTGGTCACGCTGGAAGAAGTCTCCGGTCCGCTGCCCCGAGTGAAATGGTCTGTGACACCAATATTAGCTGGTAGACATTGCTGTAAAAGGTTGAGCTGGCTTCAAGGACTAGGTAGGTTTGAGCGGCTAGCTAGCTGGAGGACTGTCTGATTAGAAACGCGGAAGCTTCCGAGCTGGATGTGTGGATCACCTCTCGATAGAGCCTATTCATACTTGCTTGGTTTCTGTACATGGTACATACTCTGTGTTCTTTAGGAAAGCCACCTTGATGGGCTCGACAAAATAGCAAAAGAGATAAAGCAAGTCTCACTCGATTCGGCACAAGAGTCAAACATGGAGGCGCGTGATGGTAAAAAGTGGCCAGTGCGGAGGACGCAGCCCCAGAATCAAGGTTGCCTAAGTATCTGGGGAGGCAAGATTGGCCAATCTCTCGGTTATACGGTGTGTTGTCCTTGGCTGTTAAGTAGGGAGAGGCTGGTTCGATATCGTATGTACGGCTTTCAGCTTGCTCTGGTGAAACTAGTGTACATATTCATGGTTAGTGTTGGAGCTGGATGACGCTTGGAAGAGTTGGGTTCGAGCGAGTTGTCTGGTGCGTAATAGCCGCAAGTAACCATTCTAGTCTCCCCCTTCTTCTCCCAAGATGAGACTTCTTCTTGTTGCACTCTCCGTCTGTATATGATGAACCGAAAGTATCAGTATGGGGAGGTATGTCCATTAGCTTGCTTGAAGGGGAAGAACCACGTATCTGCCAGATGGTTTCAAGACCTAGGACCTACTTTTCCAGAAATTGAGCCACACAATGGGCATACAATAAAGCAGTTGCCCATCATTGGCCTTATCAGAGCCAACAACTAAACCTATTCGTCAAAGTAATCCATAAGATGACTTGGTGCCCGACGAAAAGCGGACTAGAACCCCTGGAGTTAAGTCACGAGGAGTCTGCCGCTGTGGCTGGCGATTGATTAAGCAAGAATACACGACGATCTTGTCCTCAGATTGCGCCAGCCGTACAGGGCAAACCTGCATAGAGCCATTTCATGGTGGTGTTACACGGCCTGGGAGACATGGGGAGGTCATGTCTAAGAGTACGCTTTGCCCAGGCCGTGTGACTCTCGACTGTGGGCGTACGAGAACCATGGAGCCTCGAACGAGCCTCATAATTGGACACTTGGTACTCTGGCCAAAAAAGAAAAGAAATTCTTTTTGATTCAGGTTGACCCCAGTCCGGAGGTTCCTCTCCTATGCTTGGAAATAACCAGGGCACTAGAAAGACCTGCCCTGTGATTATGCTCCTGGGTGAGCACAGATAGCAATCCCAGCATCACTTGGCTGAGGCGATCCCGAAGCTGTTCGGCCCTGGAGCCATCTTGTCGAGCAGAGTGAGGCTGATTTAGGTGGCCGATTACCTTTTCGTGCTAGCCCACATGTGCCAAGGCTTCCTCTGGCCATGGAAAACGTAGGCCGAGACTCGGTGAGCAGGAGGAGCACGGCTTGAAACACGGGTGGAGAAATAAAGCACGGCTCTTTTTGGTGTTCATTGGGCGACATTAGCCATGCTGCTACCTACTAGTAGTAGTACATGGGCAAAGAGCCGGCACTTGGTGGTCTGTTGGCACGACTTGTTCTCCCCTACCCATGCTGGTGCGGCAAGCTCTGGCGTGTCTCTGCGTCGAGGAACGGGGGGGTGTGAGAGGAGAGCTCGAGTGAGAGAGAGAGAGAGAGAGAGAGAGAGAGAGCCGGATGTCGACCATTTGAATCTCGGATATTGCTCCAAGCCGACTCCGAACGAGAAAACAAAGCCTTACTCGAACAGTAGACAAGAGGCAAGCCGGGCATTACGAGTACAGTAATCCCTTGCTAGATGCAGTAAGTACGTGCACACATGAAGCTGGCTGGGGGGCTGATTTTGGTGGAGGGTTGGCCTGCTTACTGGCAATTGTCCGGCCGGCAGCCGTGATTGCTGTTTGTTGTTGCGGCTGTCGTTGATTGGGCTCTGCCACAGCTCGTCTCTAATGTTAGAACAAAATCAAATCATTGAAAAGATTTTCATTGATATCGAGTCAATCATGAGCGAGTGAGGCCGAAGTCTGGGCGATAAGGCGGAACGGATTGGGGATGGTGGGGGAGTACGACTGCATTTTGTCTCACCCCTGAGGGAAGGCGCGACGTGAGCTGTTCCCTGCACAGAGGTTCAATGCCTTGTGTACAGTACATGCACGACAGGTACATATAAGCAAGGTACTATACCTGGAACATGCACCCAATCAGGTTGCTTGAAAGTACCTAGTACATGTCCCTATACCCTCCTCTGGGCTTGTTCTCTCACCAGATATCAGGGTGTGTCCCCTAAAGCAGAGCAGAGCAGAGAAGAGCAGAAAAGAAAAGAAAAGAACCAGGTAAAGGCTCCAGGGCCTTTTCTCGGGCTTCCAATACGCACATAATGACGGGAGCAAAAGAAAAAAAAACAAAAATACATGGGCACAGCGGCAAGGGTGGTTTCAGCTGCCTCCGCGATGACGGCGAGGCTCACGTTCCAGGCCCGTAGTGAGTTTGCCACAGGCGTGTTTGCGCTGGAGCCATAGCGAGTGGGCGTACTCGTACGGGTACCAGCAAGCAATCGAAGCACCACATGCAGGTGCCTGGGAGGTACTCGATCGCTGAGCGGTCAGCGAGTGGGAGATGCTTTGCCATACAATGCGTGCAGGGACGGCATGAACCAGAGCCTGACCTGCTGCGGGCGAGAGACCTGGAAGATACAGGTACTCGGGCGCAGCTCAGCCACATTTGGTTTGGTACTCGGTGGGTACGTACCGATGGACTGCTGCTTTTCTCTCTTCTCACACATCAATTTCTTGATCACAACCACACGGCAGAAGGGCATATTTAGTGCCAAATAGCTCTCCATACTATTGTCAATATTATGATACTAGGGCAATACAGTACCTAGTGCTCGTCGGTGATGGTCTGATCACCCGATTCTAAGGCCCTAGTGCTAGCGGCAAGTGGGCTCTGAACCTGGTTCTAAGGGCGATCCACGAAGTGGGCTAGTAGCGGGCCTTCCCGCCGGAGTATAACTCAGCAGGTGGTAGCCGCTATGGATGCCTTATACTGGCTCTTGTTTACAGCATGGATGTGTACCTAGGTATTTAGATCTATTATGTGACTGATATTCGATGTATGTTGAAGCTGTGAGGAAGAAAAAAAAAGGGGGGGGAAGGAAAAAACAACAAGTGTACAAAGATGAATCAGAAATGTGCTTGACTTTCACATCTTTACACAGCCAGCATAAAACCTGCACCCAACTAGCAGCTCGAAACTTTCCATTAAAAAAAAAACTAACGCAAGCCTCACTGTCCGTGTGCTGAGACAAATCCCGTCTCGACCCCACTATTCCCAATTCCCGGGCCTCACCACCAATTGGCGCTTCTCGATCTAGATTTCACTCATGGGGTTCTGGGGATCGTACCGAGGTACGTACCTGCTTGTACTGTCTCTCTGGGGTTTCCTCTGCCGTCTCATTCTCAGTTGATATCAGCAAAACCTTGTCATATGGCAAAAGCATAAAACGCCCAAGTTCGGATTTCGTCCGCCAACCGCCAGTGGTTTTTGGGGGGTGAGAGAAAAGAAAAACAAGAAGCTCTCGTTTCTCATGCGAGGGAGGGAGGAGAAGAAAGTGAAAGGTCTAGAGTCTGAATGGCGGCACCTCGTCTCTCCGCATCACAAAACTCCCTCCGCTCATTCGTCTGCGGCCGAGCATTTGGCCTGCATAAGCCCAGTTGATTACTCAAGATACTCATACTGTACATGTATTGGTAGGCCGGTCAGGGGTAGACATAAGGAGGTGCCGTAATGAGCAGATACAATAGGCAGACAGACAGAGAGAGATAGAGAGGGAGGAAAGACGCCACACCCATCCCCCGGCCTCAGTCTTATGCTGTCTTGCCCGCAATTCGTGTAGCGTCAAGCCGGCTTGATCATGACCGTACTAGTACACAGCCAAAGGCACCAATCTCAGCCGCATCACGGCCGACGCAGGCTCGCGCCATCGCGTTTTCCCATGGCTGTGCCCCTGCGCTGTTCATTTACCATGTTATCAAGGGCGAATTGGATCCGCTTGGGCATGTGCCCGGCAGCAGGGCCTGCGTCCCCGGGATAGCTCAGTTCCGGGGCACTAGTCCATGGATGAAAAAGAAAGAAAGACAAAGCAGAAGCAAGAGAAAGGGGGGGACGACGTCAAAGAGTCTCACTCGGCCGAGGTTGGCTGGCATGGTGCCAGGCAGTCATCTGCTCCATGTTCATGTACGATAATGCTTCATGTGCATCTGGCGCTCGGACGCATCGTCCGGTACACAGCAGCTCATACCCTTGCTAGTAGCCAAACAGGACGATCGTCACTCTCTCGCTTGACTTTACAGCAAACATGTCGACGGAACTGAAGTGTTGAGGCTCGGGTGGCTTGTGTTGGATGAATATAAATGAGACGTAGCTGCTGCCGTGAATTCTGTTTCTCTTTTCATCACTTCAGACCGTACTGCTTTGAAGTTATCACAGAGTTTTCCGATCCAATCTGCTAAACACCACACCAACCGATTCGTCTTTCTGACTTCTCGTCCACTCGACGTCCCCATCTGGTTAGCTACTAGATAGTTCGCCATCCCCTTAGCCCTCCTCTTAGCTGCCGTGTTCATCGCTGTCTACATCCCCGCAAGGTGTGCTTTGTGTCGTGTGGCCCGCCTTCAATCAGGTGAGGGAGCATCTGCTGGCCCTGGCTTGTTTAGACCCCAACCCATACCATCTACCCTCCTTCGCCTAGCCTTACGGCAGATGCTGACTCCAACTGATTGCAGAGACCGGCCGTCCAAACAAGCTTCCGATCTAATACAGGCTCCGTACAACTTGACACGCCTTGGCACGCTTTGTCACGCCTTGTCCACGCCTTGCCGACCCCTATATCCTTGCCGAATTATCCTGCAAACATGCCTGAAGAACGTGTCGTCATCTACTTGGTGAGACGAGATCTACGAGTTGCTGACAATCACATTCTTCACCTCCTGTCCCGATACAACATCCACGAGGAATGTACCTATACACACCTCTTACCTGTATACATCCTGGCCCCTGACCGGGTGGAAACATCCGGCCTCCTCAGGAATGGAGAGAGATCTCCGTACCGTCAAGCACGTTCAAAGAATTCTGGAGTGTGGAAATGCGGTCTTCATCGTGTCAAATTTCTCGCAGAGGCAATTTGGGATATGAAGGAGCGGCTGGAAGAACTGGATAATGGCCTTCTCATCAGAGTTGGGCCTTTCTACGAAACCTTGAAGAGTATTTTCTTGCATTACTCCGGCGACAAAGGCGGCCCTCAGATTTCCAGCGTATGGATGGTCAAAGGGTATTCCCCGGACGAGAGACGTGAACAGCAACAAGTTTATGCCGCTTGTTATGAATTCGGGATCACCTATGTGAAATTTCGCGATCGTGAGCTGTTCGTCGATACGTAAGTTGACCCAGTGGCGGAATCATCTCGTGGGTGTCATCGGCTTCTGACTTTTAAATTGTGGAAACAGACGTGATGCCCCGTTGCAGTCCATTGGCGACGTGCCTGATGTGCTCTCCGAGTTCCAGACGCTACTGGAGCCCGTGATTGATGACTCCCGCGATTCGATCGAGGCACCCCTTTCTTTACCCCCCTTCCCAGATCATGTACTACTCCCCCCTCAACGAGGCCCGTTCGAGATTCCAGATACACTAGCAGAGCTTATCAGTCGGCTCCAAGGGCCTGTGAGGCTGGATCTTTCCTTCTTTTACGGGTTCGATTTCAGTGGAGTGATAACGGAGTCCACCTGCGTGGGTGGCGAAACACACGCTGTTCGGAGGCTTAAGCATGTTGTCAAGCAGGGCATTGCGTCACGATTCCATACCTTGAACGACTTGGAGCAAAGTGATGAATGCCTCAAGCTCGCAGCCTATCTGTCTCTTGGATGTATAACAGCCCGTCAGGTTCACGAAGAGCTCTTGAACCTGGAAAATGGGTACCAGCAAGAATACGCAGAAACTCAAGGTTGGGAAGGGGGCGAGAATCCGGGGACACGGGCAGTTCGGCAGTGGCTACTCTGCAGAGATTTCCTCCTGTTGGGCTCTAGAAAGTATCGCAACACCGTGTTTGACCTCGAAGGCTCTGGAGAGGGGAGAGACCCAGACATTGAGTGGAAGTCGCCCGATCACGAGGAAGCCAGCCCTCAACAGCTGCCTTGCCCCCTCCATGTCGAGGGAGCTCTCGTTCAGTTCAAAGTAGGAGCCACGGGATATGGTCTTATTGACGCAATCATGCGGCAACTCCTTTGCACCGGGTACATTGGTGGCCACGCATACATGCTCGTTGCCAACTTCCTTGCCATGTTTGCAGGCATCGACTGGAGATTGGGTGCGGAATGGGTAGCTTCCCTATGTTTAGACCACAACACTGTCCTCCACTGGCACAGATGGCAACACTATGCCGGGATTGGTCCTGACCCAACAGGTGGCGAGACGGTCGTCTCTCCTGTCCACGCAGCCTTCGAGTTGGACCCCAATGGAACCTTCGTCCGGAAGTGGATGCCAGAGTTGCGGAGTCTCACCAAGCTATCGAACCTTTTTCAAGTAGCCACCACCTCTCCAGAGCTGCTTCTGCGACTCGGCCTGTTTGCCAATGTCATGGTAACCAACCCGGTGCCGTCCGACGTTCTCGACCTTGGTCCTACAAGCCAGGTTGCGTGTGGATGGCTGCACCCTCGGATTTTTGTTCCTAGTCCTCAGGGGTATATGATTCTTGGACCGCATCCCAGGTTTCTCCGGATGCAGCTGGGCTTTGATCCGATACATTCACAGCTCCAACAAATCACTTACCCACCAACACCCCCAGGCTTTCCACATCCTCCACCCGGGCATCTTTGGTTTCCTGTCCGAGGCGCCCAACGCCCTAATCCACAATATTATCTTGCACCGCACCCACAAGTTCTTCAAACTCTTGAACAATCACTTGCTTGGCTTTTTCGCTTCATAATCATCTTGAGGATACTTTTTGAGCAAGCAGGGACGCGTACGACGAGAGCTCAAATGCCTCATCAACAGGGCAGCACGCAGATGCCTCATCAACAGGGCAGCACGCAGATGCCTTCTCAGCACGGCACACAGATGCCTCATCAACGGGGTACACAGGTGTCTGATGCTCGAGACGCAGAGCCTCCTCTTCACGATGCTCCCAGGGCTCCGAGGACAATGAGTGTTCCTACTGAAGTTCCCAGAGCCTCTCAGGACACTCAAGCACTTCCATCCCCTCGACGGACCCAAAGCCTTGCCGCGCCTCAGGGTCGTCTTGGCGTTGCTCAAGAGATGCCCGAGGCTCCTCGAGCACCTCGTGTCGATTCTCGGGCACCACAAGCTCCTAGAAACGCTCCAAACGCTCCTCGAGCGAATTTCCAGCCTCTTCAGGCTCCTCGAAACGCTCCGACAGCTCCTCGCTCGCAAATTCGGCCACCTCAAGCACCCCGAAATGCCACCAACGTCCCCCAGGTGCATATTCAACGGTCCCAAGTTCGTCAAAGCACTCCCACAGCAACTGTCCAGCCCTCTCGAGTTTCTCAAGCGGCTCGTCCATATGGCTCTCAAGGTCCTCGAACTGGTTTCGAGCCATCTCGAGCCCCTCTATATGCTCCAAGAGCACCGCGAGCAGATTATCATGGATACTACAATGCTACCCAAATTGCTCCTAGAGCCCCCCGTGCGGATTATAATCCCTACCAGTCCTATCAGACCTATCACGTTCCTACAAATATTTACATTCCTCAAGCGCCTCGAGCGGATTCTTGGCCCACTCAAGCCCCTCAAATGGCTCCCAGAGCTCCTCGAGCCATGCGAACCCCTCCAACTACCCCTCCCCAGGCCACAGAAGCATTCAACAATCCTCAAGCTCCTAGGTTTCCGGAGCTGTCCTCTCTAGCCAGTGAAGTGGATGCAGCTTCTCGCTATGCTTTTCAACAAGCCTACACTGCATCAACCGGTCCTTCCATCCCAACCCTCTATGGGTTGAACACAATCAATTTCAGCCACCCAGGCACTGTTCCAGCGTCGATAGACGGGACTACATACTATCAAACGCTGCAAGACTATCATCAGTGGCGTACCTCCGACCCCTCGCTTAATGCCTGGTACATTGGCCCTCAGGAGCCGGAAGAAGTTCTTCGGCGTGGCATGATACTTCGATTTCTCGACAGCCTGCCCCCCACCCCACCCGATCCCGCGTATCCCCCTGAACCTCCTCAGCTTCGCAGAACTCGTCGTCGACGTACGACGCGAAGTTCTGACGATTATGGCTCTTCTAGTCTGGCTGGCCCCCCTGAGGAGGCGGCGGTGGTGGCGGCTGCTGAGGGTGCGGCCCAGGGCAATGCCGAGTCTGCTCAGGGCGGACAAGGCAAGCGGAACAGACGAGGTAGACGAGGCAGACGAGGCAAGGCGGGAGAGAAGAGTGAAGAGGGTGTTGGAATTGAAGAAGTGGAAGGTGAGATGGCTGAAGAGGCTGATGACGAATTGACCGAGGAAGTTGATCACGAGGTGACTGAGGAAGTCCAGAATGAATTGACCGGAGAAGTCCAGAATGAATTGACCGAAGAAGTCCAGAATGAATCGACTGAAGGAGTTCAGGGTGAGACGGCTGAGGAGGTTCGGAATGGATTGACCGAAGAAGCTCGGGATGAATTGCCCAAGGAAGAAGCTCAAGCTGGTGCTTCTAGTTAGTTGAGGTAACACAGATTGTTTGGCAAAGTCGGAAAGGGGACGTTTAGCATCATTAACGCAGTTTGCTGGAGTTCGTACAAACTAGTATTATTAGCCATGAATCATTACAGACATTTTTTAAAAAAGTATGTAGTCCAAGTCGCCATCGTCTTTTCTCCTCTGTGACTCTCTAATAGACCAAAGCAGCTCCCGATCTTTAGTTTGTTTCTTACCTGTTTTTTCTCCTCGGTGTCTTTATACTAGGCCTAAGCCGCTCTTGATTTTCCCCTTGTTACTATTTGTTTTCTCTCTTGTTTATTCTCGTCATACTTCATCATGATGCAATCTTAATTCATACGGGAGATAAAATGGCGGTCAGTAGTAGTCTTTGGCTACTAAAGCAATGCTTGGCACCTTGACAGATAGCACCAGCACAGTATAATCGGGAGGCCGGTAAAGTGTGTACTTTCAACCTGCTTGTCTCAGCCAGACAGCTGATATTGCGCGGCTTGCACTCCCATGTCCATGTCTTTGGTGTATAATCACACCCTCCCTGTCCCACTTACGCAGAGGCAGCAGCAGCAGCAGCAGCACTCGCCTCTCCACTTTGCTCCTCTTCTTCAGCTGCATGCTTCTCGTGATTCTGAAAGACTGCAAGCATTCCCAGATCATAGGTCGCCTTGAGACACCCGGCCGTCACGAAGGCGACCCAAAACAGGCCGTGATCAGCCAACGTACCAGTCAAGAAGGGGCCTAGGCTGGCTCCGGTTGTCTTGACCACGTTAGTGACGCCCATGATGGCAGTGCGCTCGCTTGGCTTGATGACGGCGGCTAGGAAGGCCGCCCGCGGTGCGACATCCATGCTCTGGCTGGAGGCGCGGAGCCACAGGAAAAGCAGGGAGAGGCGCACGTCGGGGAAGGCGGGTATGAGAGAGAGGAAGATGGACGAGGGCAGATGCGTAAAGACCATGGTCTAATTAGACGCCAGTACCTGTTAGTCGAGAAAAAGAAATTGCGGCCGAAGTGTATACAAGGTGGGAGTAGAAGGGGAATTCATGTATGTACCTTGATGTTGCCAAACCGCTTGGCCAGGGAGGAGGCCACAAGCATTGACAGAGCCGAGGTGATGCTCGTAACGAAGAAGATGGAGCCGAGGTTGCCCTCTTCGATGCCATAACGCCAGCGGAAGAAGTAAGTCACCCAGGACCTAGCATGGGTTTGCCATCAATTAGTCCGTGAACGAAGAAGAAGATGGAGAACCAGGATGAGATGGAAGAGAAATCTTACATGGAAGCCAGCCCAGAGGCAAACGCATCCAATGCGAAAAAGACACACAGGCTCGTCATGAGAGCGTAGCCTTCTTTGCTGATATTGGGTAGAAGAGCCGCAGCTCGGCTGCGAGACTTTTGCTCTTCGTCTGCTTGTAGGCTCGCGTTTCCGCTGCCCAAGAGCGGCGATGTCTCGGTACTGTTGCCCGTTTCATTGAATTGAATCGTCGCCTTGGCAGAAGAAGCCTTTTCATCTGCTTCAACCGCGCTGCTCAGAAGAAGAGCAAGAAACAGCTTCACCAGGCCCGCAACCGCATAACCATAGAAGATGGAGCGATAGGCGTCGATCAGCTCCCAGTGGAGGACGGTGGAAACATACTGCACAGCCCATCCGCCAGTCATGAGTCCAAATGCTGTGCCAGCCGTGCCAAGCAGGCTGTACCAAGCGTAGACATCGCTTCTCGAGGCCGGCTCCGTGAGGTGGGCGACAACGCTCTCCTCGATGGCTCGGAACGGACCAATCTCGTTGCCACTACAAGATTGAATGCGACCTGGTTAACGCCGATACTCCCCCAATCATTCGTTGGGCTGCTGTACGTGCACATAGACAGAGCTGCATGCACGGCAACAGCAGTGCATGGGACAGCGCAATGCAAAAGTACAAACAGCACAGGATGCATTTGCATTTGCATTTACAGTTGCATTTGCATTTGCAGAGTACACATAACATACCTCGGACTAATGACCCCAAAGATTGCAGCGGCCAGCAAAACCCAGTAGTTGTCGCTCACGGCGAATGCGACGCCGCTGCCCACCATCATGAGGGCGCCCAATGCGAGAATCGCCTTTCTGCCCAGCCCGTCGGCCACCAGCGTGAGGCAGAAGCTGATGCAAACATCGCCCACCAGCGTCAGCGTCATGAACAGGCCGATGCGGGTTTTGGAGATGCCTAGCGACTGGAGGTAGAGCACAAGGACGAGCGTCGATGCGCCGTAGGCGAAGAGGCGGACGAATCTCTGCAGACAGAGAAGCTTGACGTCGGGCTTGCTGTGGTAGAGAGAAACGAGGCCCAGCTCGGAGAGGAACCGGACAAGGAGAGATGGTGATTCCTCCATTGTGCGTCTTTATCTCGTCTTTGTCTTTCGCTTCCGCTTTGTCCTTTTGGTTTGATTTTCACCAGTTCATTTTCAGCGTTTCTCGGCCTCTCTTTTCTGCTGCGAGGGCGCCGACGATTCTTTATAAAGCAGTGAGCTGCAAAAACATGACCAGAGCAAGTTTCGCCCCCCCACTGAACAAGTGAACTTGCGGCTTCGCCTAGTCACAGCGCAAGTGGAAGTACCTCGGTGATAATGGCATAATCCGAGACCAAAATCTCCATACAGCGTTGCCGATTTCCGATTGACAATCACCCATTCGAGGGCTGCTATTAGGCAATACCGAACGAAGATGGAAACGGATAGATTCAAACATGGGTGCCAAGATTGATGATTATAATGCTGTCGAGTGCAGTTTTGTATGGCGCCTAACTCCGTACCTACTAAGGTACTAAGTAAAAAGGTACCCGGACAAGCCATATCATCATCGGCGTTGACGCCACTTGACGGCATCCTGGAATTATAATCGCCTCACGCGAGTGCTACAATTGAACACTGTTCTACTAATCTAGGTATTCTCGTGAATTCTCCGTACTCTGTGTTGAGATCTGGCCTCTGCACTTCCTATCGCGGGATTCGGTACGTACTGGGTTGGTACTGTCTAGCACCTTCCAGCACCAGCTTCGCACCTTCTGACATCGATTGACTTTTTGGCGAGCATCCTCTGACGTGCACCTTCCACCTACTAAGCACCCAAGCACCTTCCATAGTACCCGGAACCTGAACCGTGCCTGCTTGCCTGCACCACTCTTGCCGTTAGAACGGCCCCACCATCACCTTCCATTTTGCTGTACTGTAGGTACTTGTGCATGTACTCGTACCAAAGTGGATTCCCCGTGCGCTCAGATCCGCAAATCTCGCTCCCGGTTGCACTTGCTCTCAACTCTCGAATTTGTTACGCGCAAAGCGGAGAGGCGACTAGCTGCCGCGGCGCAGTTGCCGGGGGAGGCGTGCCGTATCAGCTTCAGCTTCCAGTGGCTGAATCCAAGTTTGATTTGCTCAAGATAGGTCGGGATGTAGGTTTGCTTTTTTTTTTTTTTTTTTTTTTTGGCATTAATCAATACGATCAAATGATTGATTGAATGAATAGAGAAATGCGTCTGCTTGCATACAGCTGTTTCTGTTCTCCAACCCACCTATATAAATATAGGTACTGAAGCATATTACAGGTGGTGGATAGGTACTGAGGTGGTGGGCGTGTAGGTAAAATGATGAAAGCTCGAAAACACTCCCCCCCTTCCATCCAGCGTTTTCTCTCACTCTTTCCTCCAAAACCTCATGTAGCAGTACGAGTACGAATACATAATTGGGCCATCGGATACCTACGATACGGCTGTACAGTAGCAATCACACGGAGACGGCTTTCTGTCTCATTGCTACGTCCATGCACGCTGCATCATAGGAGGTAGGCATCAGCTACTCATGCCGGTGTTTGCTGGTGCGCACTCGGTGTGACAAAATATGACATGGATCAGCCGCAATCACAACCGCAGCTGATGGCCTCAACCTCCTCTGCTCAATGTGTTTTGCTGCCATTGGGCTTTATACGAATCGATCCAATTTGTCCCTTTACGCTTACGGAGCAGCCCCCCCTCCAGGTTCAATGCAAGGGAGAGCAAACTGGGCTGTTCTTTTGGGGTCGGGAGAGTAGTTTGCGACATCTCATTCGCGTGCTTTCTTTTTTTGCAATTCACTAGACTCATGTGTGAAGCAGCCGATATGCACACTAGGTTGAATCCTCCCAAGACATCCGAAGTGAGCTGTAGGGGACCGAGCCGTTTCGTAGGCCTGTAAGTCGAGTCCAGCGGTGGCTTGCTGGTGGACATTTGGGCATTGGAGTGCTGTAGCATAGGTAGCTGTACGGCTGGCAGCACGTTGGCTGGCACTTCTCCCGGGCCATTTAGTTCCGGTCCTCTCCTCTCCTCCTCCGCCTCCTTCCCTTCTCTTTTTCTCCTTCTTCATCCCATCTTCTCTTCTTCTTCTTCTTCATCACCTTTCCACCCAAAGAGCAGAGTTGACGGATGACGATCTCATCAGCAATCCACTCGTCATCTGTCTCTCGTTAAACCAGTCCTTCTTCACGCAATAGTGCCCATCTTTGATATTTCTGCACTCCCCCCTTTCTTATTTTCCCCCAGCGCATGGTACTTGTCAATTTGCAACCATGTCTGACAACGTACCAATCGACTTGGCCTTGTCCATCACCAGTTGCGTTACCCACGTTGAGGAAGAAGCTCAGCAACAAGCCATGTGGGCTCTTCCTGAAACTCAGTCCAATGGTGGTATCCCTGAGCTTCTCCAGCAACAGGAGGAGGATGGCAAGCTGCAAAATCTACGCCAATATCTTGCGTCGTGCCACAATATGAACCAAGCAGCTCAAACCCTTAACAGCGATTCGTGCTGTTCCCAAGCTACCACCCTTGAGCCCGAAGGAAAACTGTATCCTGCAAAAATTACTTCGTCTCCTGATTTCATGGACAAGCAAATGGAGGTCTGGAACGTGGTGCTGGCAGACGACAACTCAGCCCTTCTGAAAAAAATGTTTCCTTCCATGGAACAAGTACACGATGAGTACTTCTCCATGGAGCCCGTCAACGGCCAGCCGACGCTCTGCGTCTTTGAGCGACTGGGCATATCCAAGGCCGTTATGAACCTGCTTCATGGAGTTTTGGACGATGAGGTCCTCAGCAGTGCCGTTGGCCTCCGCGGAGACATCACGTACGGCCCTCTTGACGAAGATGACGATTCAATCGTGGAAGACGATGAGTCCGAATTCGAGCAGCATTGTAGCTTCTGTGTCTACTCCAACACGGAGTGTGGTCGACATTTTCCTGTTGTCGGAGTTGAGTACAGGCCATCTGATCCTCCCATGGTGCAAGAGATTACCACTGCCTTGGTCGAGGATATTTTTCCGGAGCGCGATGTTATTGGAAGAGAGGATGACTCCTATACCTTTGTTTCATCATCGAAGCAGGTGATTACTGCCATCATCACTCAATTGTTTGACCGCATGGTGAAATCGGGTGTGCCTTACGGCTACATCTACACGGGAGAAGCCATCATCTTTCTAGAGATTCACGACGATCCGTCTATCGCGCACTGCTACGTCAGCATCCCCGACAATGACGTCTCTGCTGAAGATGAATCGACTCTGCGCTACTCTGCTGTCGGCCAAATCTTTGCCTTCATGATCAGAGCGATGCAAGCTGGACCCCGTTCGGTGCAGTGGCACGACCGAACTGCAACCCTTGACGTTTGGCGGAGCAGCCGCAGCGAGGCACTGCTCAACATGCCGTCGTATCAGAGTGCACCAGGCTCTTCCAGCGCTACTAGCTATGGCGATGAGGTGATGGATGATGTCGACGCTGAGTACGAACAGGTCGGCCAAGACAATGAAGTCGATGAAAACAATGAAAACAACCAAGACAACAATCAGGGTGGCGAAGACGAGTATGAGGAGTATCACGATTATTACCTCGACATTGACGAAGACATGTACGTGGCCGTTGATATCAAACTGGAATGGGGACAGGATGGAGAGCTCATCCCCACTCGAGACGAAGACCAACAATACGCGCACCAGCACGGGGAAGAAGGCTTCGTCGATGATGGCAAATGCACCTACTGGTTCGTAGATGGCGAGGTCATTGTTAGTGACATTCGACAGCGCCAATATTGTACCCAAGAGTGCCTGCTTGGTTTGTCCGACGGAGCGTCTCTGGATCAAGCTTGCCCCAACATCGACAAGCACGGAGACGAGCACATCAGCAATCTTGAGTTTCTCCGCATGGTTCAGAGCCAGCTTGCCCGGACTCGCCACGTATCTGGCTGTTGCGTCTCGCTTGACTTGCAAGGCTCCCTGGGAGCCATGTTCAAGGTCATGATTCCTTCTCACGGCTACACCTTCGTTGCCAAGGGTGTCACGGAGCAAAACGTGCCCCGTCTGTTGCGTGAAGCAGACACGTACACTAGGCTCAGAGACGTCCAAGGAGGATGCGTCCCCGTCTATCTTGGCATCGTTCAGCTTGAAGCGGCATTTGACCACGATAGCACCGCCTACAGTCACTTCATGCTTCTCAGCTGGGCCGGTCGCCCCGTGGAAAATCTCACGGAATCGCAAGCAAGCCATGGCTTTGTCAATTCTACACGCCGGGCTTACACGGAACTGCACAATGCCGGCCTGGTTCACAATGACGCGGAGCTGCGGAACATGCTCTACAATCCCCAGCTTGATAGAATCATGCTTGTGGACTTTGAGCACGCATCCATCTACGAATGCCACGTCGCCGAGTTTCAGTATCGCAACTACCATGCCACTATTGAGGAGGTTGAAGACGAAGAGGCCGGCGGCAGTAGCAGCAACAACGATGGCCGCGACCACATCCATAACCACACCCCTGGCCACAGCCACGGCGGTGGCCTCCGACGAGTCAGCCGGTGCGAGAATCTGCGAAGGGAGTTTGAGGTTGCGTCTGAGCGAGAGCTGAGCCGCGCTGTCAACCTGATGGAGAACCTCGCTCCAACGCTGCGCCCGTGGCACATCGTCTAGGTTGGCAATCTCGGCAGACATGGGGAAATCACGAGCGAACATTCGGCACGGGAATATCGGAGCAAGTGGTAACGGGTTACAGTTTGTCATTGGCGAGTTCGGAGCCGGACGCTGGGATTGCAATGTGAACGGTCATTTTTCTCAAGGGTTAAGCAAAGGCACACACACAGAGAGAGAGAGTTACGGCTTTGATCCATGTACTTCAAGTTTGCTTGACGGATTTACAGATTGGGTGGGTGCCCTGGTAGTAGCTTTTACCTGAGTTGCTAGATTGCTCTCGTAGTAGTAGGGACCTATAGTAAATGTACATGGAGCCTCTCTCCTTATTCGCCTTTTTACTTTGCATTCTTGGTGGTTTACACTGTAATTTTGATGAACTAAATGGCAAAGACGTTAAAAATTCGGCTTGTTACAGTAGTATAGAGGCACATGAGTTTGACTCACAAAAACGTGGTGTCAAAAAGGCGAGTGGCCAGCATCATTCCATCGCCGAACCACCGAGACACACTCGGAATTAAACCTCTGCTCTCATCTTTGCTCCACCACACAACGCAAAAGGCCCTCTCAGCCTTGTCGGATGGTAGTTTTCGCCTACTGTCTGATGGGAGACTCCATTATTATTGAGAGGTTATCGCCATTCCTATTCCGTAAGGGCACTTGTTGGTCGAGGAGGGTTGAGGTTAAGATGGGTAGTAGAAAGCAGAGGTGGGGCAACACCATGCTGGATGCAATGAAACAATCAATAGTAGCTGTTACATGGATGGCTGCCTTTGTGAATGCGTCATCCCGATTTGTGTACCCGTTGTTTGCCATGATCCGTCCATTTTCTATTTATACCTATTCTGGGGCCATAGGTCGATGTCGGATTGGTGCTGACCGGGTTCAAGGTTAAGTATGAAGTGTTCAGCTGGGGGGCACTAAAATCTCAGGATAGAAAATGAACAGAAAGGTGCATGTGAGCCTCCTCGGAGAGAAGACGAACCAAGTCAACTTTGCGTTCTGTTTGGTTTCCCTCTGTAAATCACATGATGAGACAAAGAATGAATGAAATCGTGCATCTGATGCCGTCGTGCAGCATGTTGTAGGTATCATTAGGTACTAAGTGATCTATCACGACCCGGTGTACATCCATTCTGCCCAAGGTACAACCCAACACATGGATGAGATACATTGGAAAACAATTTAGAATAATAAAAATACCAGAACATGTGTCAATTAGTTTTCCATCTTTGACTGGGCATCTGGACTAATATCCCGCCAGGGCGATATCCTGGCTGACATTCCAAACTCACTCTTTATTAGTAGACAGCACCCGGCTGAGCCCACTACTAATCTGTATCTCCAGTGCTATCAACCTACAGGTAGGTAGGCACTGTAAATCAGATGCTGCACACTCCATCATTGACATTTGAATCAGCCCGCCCTTTTGTCGTCTAGCGAAAGAATTATCATGCATCTCCATTTTGCTTAATCTGCTTCCACACGAGCGTATTCAGCAATGAAGAATTCGAGAGGCGGCATGTCGAATGCAAAATTTGAACGGCGGGCTCTTGTTCATTTACCAGTGTTGCGTTTAGCCGCACATTTTTATCATTTGGCCAACTTTTGCATATCCAAACAAATTCAATTCCTATACAGGCCCAAAAAAAACATCGCCCATACATGGCCCGTCCAATCGCCAGCTTTGAATATCACTTGCCCTAACAACCTCTCAAATTGGCGACTGAATCCCTTCCAGCCTCCCTCAACGATCGCCTGCCGTTACCAATCGCAGACCTTGTCCAGCCGTGGCGTGGCAGCCTCCAAGCAGCAGCAGCAGGAACCTACCTATGATGCAGCTTCGACTACTCCAGCTGATGCGAAAATCACAAGTGAATCACGCCAAAATGAAAAGCAAGGCGGCTAGGATTCAACCGAGATGAAACATTCTTTCTCCTACGAATGCATGAATGCCTTACAAGGCGAGACTCTTCTGTCGTGCCACGCATGTGCCAACGCGTCCAAGAGCGGGGGCAAGCCATCTCGAGCCCATTTGCTGCAATCCATCCCGAGCGGCGAATTGGAGGCAAGTAAGCAGATGCTGCCTGGCCTGCGCCTTCGCCTTGTTTCGTCGTTTCTTAAAAGCAAACTCCACCAGAGCCCGGTTTGCCGTCATGTCATCTCGGGAAGCGGGCGCTCTTTGGTTTACGAAGATCGATCAAAGCCAACCCTTTTTTCCTTTCAACTCGTAGAGACTCAAGGTCAACCAGGAGCCATCATCAAACCTCCCCGTTCGAATTCGCCATGGTTCGAGTTCAGAAGCTTACGCCCGAAGTCCTGCTGAGCGACCCGAGGCGTGGCCCGGCCGTTCCAAATAGAGACGGGACTCATGCACTCTACACAGTGTCGGCACACGTCCTCGGCGACAGAACTACCCACGAAGTCCGGATTCTCAACGTCAAGACGGGAAACTCCACCCGGCTTTCTAATGACTCTCGGGTCCATGATGCCGTGTGGATTCCCGGCACAGAGCTCGACATCCTCTACCTGCGGTCGGCAGAAAAGGGCCGGACCCAGGTCATGGTGGCATCTGCCGGAGATGTATCCGCCGAGCCCTACATGGCGGCAGAAATCGACGCCCCCGTGTCAAACCTGAAGCTCAAAGAGCTGGCTGATGGAAGCGTCGCCTTTGTAGTCACGGGTCTAGTTGGTGACTCTGGGCTGTACAACCAAGAAGCTGTCCAGAGGGGATCAACAGCAAGGATTTACGACGCCGAAATCCCCATTGTAGGTCAAGACTAACTTCTTTTTCCTACCTTCTTCAGCGGTTGCTCCTTTATACTAACCATTATATACAGTGGAATGCCTCACGTAGACCCAATAGATGCAGTCTCTGGTACAACGAGCTTGTCCTCCGCGACCACCACTGGGCGCTTCAAGGCGAGCTCTACAACCTGATTGACGATATAGATTTGGAGGCTCCGTCTCGCATGTATACCGATGTGCCATGCAACGACTTTGATATCTGCCGTGATGGGATTGCTTTTGCTGCGAGAAATCTGAGAGAGCGAGGGCCAGACGGAAGCCCCGCCACTTCCATCTACTTTGCGTCTCTGCACTCGTTCTCTTTGCCGCCATACGGAATGCCCAGACAAATATTCATACCCACTAGCTTTGAACCTGCGTTGATAACAAACGTTCGGTTTACCCCGAACTCGTCAAGCATCGGTTTTCTCTACGCTGCCCATGGAGATCCCTACAACACTCGGCTGTTCTTGGCGTCCGTCTCCTCGCTGGACGCTTTTGACGTCTTCGACCTCGTGACTTGCGCTGACGATGAGGATCAAAACCCACCGAGGGCCTTTGAGTTCGCTGGTAGTTCCGACTCTGTGATTTTGCGAAGCCACCAGCTGGGTCACGAAACTCTTTCCCTCCTCATGCTGCAGGACGGGGCCAAGCCGAGCGTCTTCTTCACCGGCAGCAGCTGCAGTGCCTTTTATCCGTTGATAGAGGGAAGCTGGGACGTTCTCCTAACAACATCGTCCAGCTTTGTTGATAATAGCCTGTGGCAGATTGTCCAAGTTTCGGAAGCCAAAATCGTGAGGACAATCTCTTCAGCTACCAAGAACGGTGCCAAATTTGGTCTTTCTTCCGATATGGTGACCGAGATTTGGTGCGAGGGCGCAAACCGGCACTTTATTCACTGCTGGATGATCCGGCCACGAGATTTTGACGAGACCAAAGAGTATCCCTGGGTACTGATGCCCAACGGTACCCCGGCCATGGCTTGGAACAACGAATGGTCCACGACGGCATGTGTGACTGCATCGCTGGTAATCTGCTCAGTTGTATGCTAACCTTTTTCTTCTGCTAGAACAACTTTGCTGCTTGGGCGTCGCAAGGCTACATCATTATCCTTCCCAACATTGCCGGTAGTAGCGGGTACGGGCTAGAATTCACGAGACGTACGTGGGCCATTGTTTCAGCTACCTATTCGAGGGGGCATGTGGATCGGTGGTCACTAACTCACACGGTTCTCGCATAGGAATTCGGTTTCAAAGAGGAGACGAGCCGTTTCAAGACCTCCTCAGCCTCATCGCCGATCTAGAAAATGTGCCGTATCTTGACAAGACAAAGGCCGCGGTAGTGGGAAGTAGCAGTGCCACATATCTTGTGAATAAGCTGCTGGGACACGAAGTTGCCAAAAAGGTGGGAAGAACAAATGATCCTAATTAGTTACTCGATTCCGCCCAGATCTAGACTGACTTTGTTGATCCAGTTCTGTTGCGCAGTCTACCAAAGCGGTACGATCGATCCCCCGGTGACCTCGTCACATAAGGAGCCCGTCTTCGACAACTTCGATAAACTCGATCCATCATACCCATACGCAGACCCGGAGATGATATATGAGAATGACATGGCTCGATCGACCTTTTTCTATGGCTGGAAAAATGCACCGCCAACCCTCATTATCCACGGAGAGAAGGATAAACAATGCACAATTACAGAGGCGTTGACGGCATTCAACTCTCTGCAGGCCCAGGGCGTCCCTAGTCGGCTATTGACCTTTCCAGACGAGGGCCACGTTGCTACGAAACCGGAAAATACCGTCATGTGGTACACCGTCGTCTGGAATTGGGTCAAGAAGTGTGTTGATGGCGATGTTGGGCGAGAGGATATTTTCTGAATGGTAATGCGATTGGGTCAGCGGAACGTCTTGGGCCATAGCGAGATGGACGGATGTTGGTAAATTTGATTAACTGCTTGATCGTGTTTTGAAGCTACCAAGGAGGGAGCTCTGCTCCCATGTCAATCGGGCACTGTACAGCTGGCTTAGCATTCTTGCAGCATTCTTGCTTCCTTCTTGCTTCCTTTTATTTGCCATCTTATTTTTCCTTGAGTATGTACGAGCTGGAAATACTGGTTTTTTCAACGTCTCAATCGAAAGGGACCCAGCTATCAAGCGAAGTCTTTCAATGCCTTTTTCTTGTTTTACTTACAATCTTTGCTTCCTGTATCTTTGCATCAAACAAACAATGACTCCAGATTGACCCTCGCGATGCTACCATGCTACACTAGAGACCGTATTGCCTATCCTTGTCCTTGATGGGAAAGTCACTTCCCGTTGTGTCCTTGTACTTGTCACGTATGAAATCCGAAATGGCCTCGTCTTTGGCCTGCTCCGCCGCTGACTCATTGCTCTGATCGCCCTGGCCCATGAACTTTTCTTGCACAAAATCGACAGCTAAAGCGTACCATGTTAGCAGATGGGAAATAGATGGTGATCAAGTGTTTGAGGCAGCTAACCCTTGTCGAGCATGTCTTCATTCTTCTCGCCCTGAGCTCCTCCGCCGGCCATGCTGTTCATCTTGTCCATGAAGCCGCCGCCGCTCCCTTCTTGGTTGGCGTTGTTGTTATTGAAACCCTCTGAGCGGCGGTCTTGTGCGTTGCTATCTCCATCATTGGCAGAGCCAGTAAGCTTGTTTATGTAGTCCATGGTAGATGTGAGGTTGGTGGGATGAATCTTGGGGAGGTGGAAACAGCGGCAGAGGCGTTGCGGGGTAGAGACAATGAGGCTCAGGAGTCGGGATACGCCGTCCTTTTTTTTCTATGGATATTATAGATGGAGTGATTATCACCTCGATTCAACTTGGAAGAAAAAATATGATTGAGGATAAACTTTTGAGAGGATCAAAGATGCAGCCAAGCTGCAAACATATAGCATTTCCCGTGTTACCGGAGAGAACAGAGCATCACGTCACAGACGTCATACATACGACGCTGCCAAGCTGCTGCTGATCACTTGCCACCGCCTAGGATCTGACCTTGTTCGATGATTTGCAGATTTCCGGATCACAGCCTACTTGCCTACCTAGATTCTGCAAAAGAAGTTGAACCAATGAACTGTTATTGTTAGGACGTTGGCAAGGTTTCAAGCAGAAAGAAAGTGCCCGGATAACTTGGCGCCACGTGTGGGATGGCGATTTGCTTTCCAGAGATCACGATGCCATCGCCCGCTTTTTAGGCGAGCTTGTTTTCCCCAGCTGTAACGGTACGGCTAGCACTCGTATATCTTTCCCACCTCTGTTTTCTATCGGATTTTTTCTCTTGCTTGGAATGGCTTCTAAGTCTAGTATTTCCTGAGACTATACTAGAGGAAATAGTGACGCGTACTTGGTCCCTGTAATGAAAATAGGAGGAATACATGCAAGTAGTCTACCACTATCTGTCTACGCTGTTGCGCTTCTGGAATAGCTGCGCTGCGGCATGAAGAGCCGACAATTTCGGATACAGGCATGGATTGAGTGTGGTGGCGGGTTAGCGCAGGTCTTTCGGCTCGTTGTAATCTATCGTTGACGAGAAATGAATCGATCTGCGCAACTGTCTCGGTCAAGACTCCCCCGTGCTGTTGGTAGCATCGAAATCGAAATCTCTGTTTCAGAGGAACAACAGCCTGATGGATGATTGCTTGCTACAACTGGAATAGTTTACAATTTGCCCAGGCACAGATGACAGACAGGGCGAGCACACATGTTCGTGCTAGTATTCTGATACTCGTGCATGCAAAGCTGAATGTGACCTCAGATGATACGACGCTGTTCCCTCTCGTATCGCGACTCCAGACTGATTCAACCACACGAAGCCTTAGCGGTGGGCATTGGGCTGGCGTGCTCGGCGATGCAAGACCGGCATCTTGGCCACCGGTAGTCGCATTTGGCAAATCATGCTAGCGATTCTAGACTGTCACTGGTGCAGGGCTTTGATACTTGCTACTGTACGAGTATGCCCAAGCTACGACCACTGGAAAGCCTGAAAGGAAAACACGTTGTGGGCATTTGGCCGGTTGCTGGATAACGTCAATGCGTCCTCTGGGGCTAGCTATCGGTATCTTTTGTAGTAGTAGGTATACAGATGAGGTAGTAGTCGCGTGTCATGGGTGTCGGGATGATGCCGATAATGACAATCATGCACCGGCTTTCGGACCATTGCCTGTGGCTGACCGCATGAGGCCTGGATGGCTGCATCGCATAAAGCAAGCAAAGCACCTGATGAAGTCGAGGGCCGCGGGGGTTCTGGATCGTTGCAAACTAGGTCCTTGGATCTGTTTCGAGATGCTCTTCCCCGGCTCGGTTGTTGAGGTGAAGTTATCGACGAAGCCGTCGACAAAGTCAAAGGGCTGCTGCACAAGACGCAGAAAGCTTGTGGCCGAGCTGAAGTTTGTTGTTCATGTACTGTATCCTCAACTGGCATTTGTCAGTACAGGAACTCCTCCAATTCGGATCAAGAAACTGCCAAGTGCTTGTACTCGTACATGCGCAGCCAAGTTGCCTACACTTGTACTCTAAACTCATCGAGGTCAGGCCATATCTGCAGTCGGGCTAAGCCCAGCCGATGGGCTCGGGCACTGGAGGGCCGAAGCCTGGCAATTCCTTTATCCAAACGCTTCATTGATATTCAGGCGGCAGACATTAGCCCCTTTGTCCGGTTCTCTCTCAGTGTGTCGGAGCTGATTAGCCAAGACCGGCGACTTGCTGAGGATACTGTAAGGTTTTGACGAAGTGTCACATTAGCCGCAGCCTGTTGTTTTGAAATGCCCATATCGACCCCTTGTTGGCGCACATTGACACCGTTAGCATTAGCATAATCTGGTAACTACTACTGACATGACAGGCTGTGCTAGGGATGCTGGTCAGCAGGGCATTCGGCTCTCCCCCAATCTGGAGCCTGTCTTTTGCTCATCCAAGGCTCCACAGCCAGCTGCATCGAAGCAGTCGGCTTTGCTTGGTTGAGTTTAGATCTGGATTGCGGGGACGAGTTCCCCTGCACCGTTGCCACCGTTGCATTGCGGCTGATCAATGCGAGTCTGGCAAAAATAAGGGGCATTTCGAATATGCATGCTCCCCCCGATGCCAATGCAACTTGCCATCGAACAGGACCGTCGTATTGCTAGGAAGCTCGACACAAACCGCAGTCTACCTAGGAATAGTACTCCGTACTCCGTACAAATCTCAGGGCTATGCCGTACCTAGCAGGTCGATGAACGATGGCAGTCACAGAAGAAATGTTGCTCCGTTGCCGCTTTCGAGCTCCACATTCAGCCGCACAATCATGGGGGATTTCGGTCCTTTGTGAACCTGTGCTGCTCCATCTGATGCTCGGAGGATGAAGAGAGAGTGGAAGAAAGAGCACAGGTGCAAATTGCTGGCCTCGTAAAACGCCAGCCCGAGCTTCCTTTCAAAGCCGCCAAGCAAAAGACTAGAGGTGATGCTAAGTCCATGGCCAGTTACCTTAATGCAAGCCACGTTCGGTGCCCTTCAAACACCTGCCAGCGATGATGCCTGTCTTTGCCTGTTTAATCTTGACATTCCAGCGCCGACTTGCGCACGGACTGGAGGATCTACAGAGACTCCCGATCCATGATAGGACCAAATGGCCCCCCTGATCGTGCAAGTAGTACAGAGAGACCGTTCGAAGTCATCGGCCTGGCTAGTAGGATGGCTTCATTCAATTAAGCCGAATAGAGGAGGTGATGATACGATGTACGAACGCGCCTCTACCGATCGTTATTAGTACAGACAGACAAGGAACCAACAAAGAGACTGCAAACAAGGCTCCGTATTGACGAGAGAATCAGCACTGTGATTCTCCCATTCGCTTCGCTCTCTAATGATGTAGTAGTCGTTGCCTCTCGCAATCAAGCGCTGGTTGGGGTTCGAGGAAAACGTCATTATACGCTTGGATTGCTGAACCCTCCCAAACCCTGGTGCGAGCGTTGAAAGCACAACGTCCAAGCGAGGGTTCCATGCCATGTGAGAAGAAGCCTGCGGATATGCGAAATGGCACTTCGACAACGTGGAATTGTCATCGTCGTTCAAGGATCTCTTTCAGCCGCATGCAAGTTACTTGCCCTTTCTGTGATGACGTTCAATATTTCTTCAATACCTTCCAGGTTGTTGCCAAGGCACCCGTAACCGCAGCCCTCCGTATTGCCCGTGTCCTGGCCAATTTAACCCCCCCTTCTCGTCGAATCCCGCTTCCACAGACTACTCCAGAACGCAGAGCGCAGCCAACCCACGATGATTATGGCGCAGGCCGAACGCACGGTTGCTTACCCGGGCACCCCTGGCTCTTTGTTGCTCCTCCTTGCCGTGTGCCATGCGGATTCATCGGAGAGGCGTCAGGCTTTCCTGCTCGGCGCCATCACCCAACAACCTGCGCTGCTAAACAGTTGTTTGCTCTCGGGCACGGCTGCTATCAAGCCACTGGCATCATGTGCGTCCGTGTGTCTGCGCTGGCGGATCTTGAGACGTCGGATAAACGCTTGTTTTGCCTGCGTGGCTGAGTTGCTAACGACTCTAGCACCAATAACTCAAGGGAAGGGAAGGGAAGAGAGGGGCAAGCCAAAGTCCATGCTTGATCGCCCTCTTGTTACATTCACAAGCGGTGCGGCCGAGCCTCGATTTCCGCGGACAACAGCAGCAACAACAATAGCCAGCATCTGATTCAGATGCACGGTCCTGCCAACAGGACGACGATACGAGTTGCAGCTGAATGAATCATCAAAGGCCTGGAATCGCTTGTAATCACCGGAGTAGCCGTGGTAAACAAGGTCAAGAAATCTGCAATTCTAAACCCTCCTCTGGCCTGGCCCCCCCGGGCGATAGCCGCCCTCCAACTGCCACGTGAGAATGCTGCAGAATTCTTTTCTTCTTATTGCCTACCCGGTCCAGCAAGCCGAGTGGCTCAAGAATCAAGTCTCATGCATAATCGTCCAGCCATCCTTGCGCGTAGAGGCCAATCACGACCCCTGCCAAGACGAATCTGTACGCTCCTTTGGGTCTGCAACATCTTCCAGAACGGGGTTGGTGACGGTCAAACACACTGTAGTACAGACTAGGTCTGAAGAGTCGACGAGGTTGACCACCAACACGTTCCGCTTGAGCGGCGGACTCGCCCTAGCAAAATGTGAACACGCCTTAAACATGGCCATCGCCATCCTCAACAGTGCCAGCAGCCATCAAGAGGCAAAGATGCTGCCAAGGGGGCCGATTAGAGCAACGCCACCAAAGACTATGAGCAAGTGGCGGGAAGCCGGTTGCTTGTCAATCTGCAAAATCTCTGCCAGCCCATGGCTTGGGAAGCCTTTCACAAGGGAGGCCCCCCAGCCCAATGGCTTGGTAGCAACTCCGTCCTCTGGCGACGAGGCAGTGGAGCAGTTGATCCAAGCGCTGCTCCCGTTGCTTGATCCCTCCGCTAGGACGATGCAGAATGCCAAAGGAAGCACCGACTTGTGCTGTTTGGGCCGCTGTCAGACGGTAGTATGAGCCAGGTCGGCCGAAGTTCTGCTGCCGGCTCGACACCCATTTCTCTGGAACCAAATGAATGCCCTCTCCGCCCACCTCTAGGATAGGATGCCGACCAGGATACACGGGAAACGGGTCCCAAGCACCCCTGGATACGTGCTGTTTCAAGCCGAAGGCGCCAGATTAGCTTTTGCAGGCTACATGATTCAAGACTTTGCTCACCACCAGGCTTCACAAGGCTTAGCCCAAGGACATGCTACACCTACGAGTACCCACGCTCATATTGGATGCTGGGAATAACATGGGCACTGGATACCGGATTGCAAGCCATCAACGGGGCACACATTTGTCCGTACAGTAAATGGGAAATAGATTCTACTCACCAACTGTAGTACAGCACCGGCATCTAATAGGTATACACTACCTTGCCTATTCTTTTTTTTTCTCCGAGAACCCACATACTATTTAGGGTTTGCGGTGTGCTCCATATTGCCATTGCCTTCCTAATAATCTACGAACTTGCTGAACCTGTACCCGTTCTGCTCCATCCCTCCTCGTACTTTGTACGGCTTGGTGCCTTTCAACTTATTAAACCCCGGCACCCGCTTACTCTCTTTTCTTTAAGCCGTCCTCTCAGTCTCCTCGTCATCGGCAGAGGAACAACGCTCTTGTTCTTCTTCGTGAAGACTCGAGGCTGCTTGTTTTTCTTGTTCTCTTTTATCCCTTCACCCTTCGTTTCTCACAACGTTGACGCCAGCAGGCTTGCCTTTCTTCTGAGCCTTCCTTCCTCTTCCGATCCCTCTTCCCTCTTCCTGTTCCTTCCTCTGATTCCCACCTGTTCTGGACTTCGGAAGTCAGCTGCCTTCCGATTGCCACATCAACTTGGGGGTTCTTTCCTTTTCTCGTGATCGATATGCGACGACGACTCCAACAACTAGAACAAAAGCACAACTTCCGTTGATCGTTTCTACTCATCAGATTCATCATCAGACTCATCATCAGACTCATCATCAGACTCAAGGCATAACCTCATCCCCTCCTTCAGCCATGCCGTCAGGGGAGCTGCCGATCGATGGCCAGTCCCTTGGCCCTTTGACGCCATCCCTTCGCAGCGGCCTTTTGGCCATCACCGTGCTATCATGCATTTCCTTTTTTGCCGCAGCCACTCTCTTCGTCTATTTGACATACAAGATTGTCTCCTGGCAGCTCTTTGTCCGGCGTGAAAACGAGAAACGCTTTCGGGAAACTCATCAGGATCAGGGTGACCATGATCTGCCTCGCCAGCCAAACCTGCACCAAGGAGCCCATCACGAGGCATCTTCCTCGCAGCATGCTGTTGATTTTACGCTTGGTATCGATGGTGTCTTTGCCTCCCGCCCACGCCCGTCCAATGATGCTTCCGTTCAGGGCGATGCCAAGTTCCCGCAACAAGACCCAGGCCCGCCTATCCGACCGATGAAGGGTTCGCCCAACCAGTTCCTCATCCTCATCTACAACCTTCTCGTTGCCGATTTGCATCAGTCGATTGCCTTTGCCCTCAACTCGACATGGATCAACCGAAACGCCGTCCTGGTGGACACGAAAACGTGCTGGGCTCAGGGCTTCTTTGTCTCCACGGGAGATTTGTCCTCGAGCATGTTCATCACTCTCATTGCCGTGCACACCTTCTTTTCCGTGGTCAAGGGCTATCGGCCGTCACAGAGGATATTGTACATGTCCATTGGCCTTGTGTGGCTGTTTGTGTATTTCATCTCGACGCTGCCAATCGCCATTACGAACAACGGCAGCGAGCATGGCGGCTTCTTTGTTCGAGCTGGTGCCTGGGTACGTTTTTCACAAGCAAATCTACTTCATCTTGCTTCACCTCGTCCCTCCCCCCTCTCTCCCCCTCTTACTAATTACCCAATGTCTGTGATTGCTAACATGATCATGTGCTCCTAGTGCTGGATAAACGCCGAGTATGAGAATCTCCGTCTGTTCACCCACTATCTCTGGATTTTCCTGGCCCTTGGCATCACTTCCGGCCTCTACATTGCAATCTACTACTCTCTTCGTCAGCAAGCTCGTCGTCGCCGAGCTGCCAACCCGGACAGCGCATCGGATCCTGGCTTTGCGGGTGATCACAATCCGGCGTTTCTCATCTATCCCATCATCTATGTCAGCTGTACGCTACCGCTGGCTACGGAACGTGTGGCATCCATGTCTGGGGCTAATATCCCACTGGGGCTCTTCTGTTTTGCTGGTGCGCTCATCTCTCTCAACGGCTTTTTCGACTGCCTCTTGTTTGGCACAACTCGACACTCCATCATCTTCGCCTCTAAGTACGACATTGATGTGGCGGACACGGGTGTAAAGACAATTGCCTTTTTACAAACCCCGAAGTCTCGACGTTACGGCAACATGGTTTGGATCCAGGGTGGCGAAGGTTCCAGGCGAAAGATGGAACCGAAGACTACTGGTGGATGGTGGTCGTGGCAGCGCCTGGCCGGACGCTCTAGCAGCATGAGGCAGGAGAAGCGAAGACGGCCGCGAGGATCCAGCCAGGAGTCGTTGCGAGGCCCTGGCATCCAGATGGATCTGGTCACGACTGTTGTGGTGGAAGTGGAAGACGACAAGGAACGAGATATTCGATTCCCCGATCCCGCCGCCAGCGCCAGTCCCTCGGTCAACAGCACGGATAGGGACGCAATCAGCGCAAGAAATATGTGAAGAAAGGAAGACGATGATGAATGACTTTTTTATCCACTGTTATAAGATACCTATTTATGTACGACGCATCTTTGGCGGCTCGAATTTGCTATGAGCTTGTGGGAGCTATACCTTCAGGGGCGGTCTTAATGAGAAATGTAATATAGCAAGCACAGTTTTTTGGACGTTGCGGTTTACGTACTACAAGAAGAGACACCCATCTCCAAGAGCCTAGCTGCAAGCTCTGATGAAAATGCCTCGAGATGACAAGTGATACCTTATGCTATATGATGACGCTCTCAATATTTCACGCAGACTATCTGACCACCCGCAGTTTCGGAGTCGGACCGTTCGTGGGGGACTGCTGCCGCCGTCATGTTTTCAGCTGAGCAGAGCCTCAGAGCGAAGGAAGACGGTAATTGGCTCCAGTACGCTGTTGTTGCTAGCTAGCCCTTTGCGTACCTGCATGCATGAGCTGCTTCTTCGGATGCCCTGAGTGGAATCAAACGTGGGAAAAGGGCCCATCAAAGGTCCATCCATTACAGACGGCCCGCCTGCGTCCCATTCCGTTCAACCCACTGCCAGCATTACTCTTGTCCATTCGCCGTCTTTTATGGAGGAAAACGAAGGGGGCAGAATAGCTAGCCAACGGTGACGCGATTCGTGTGAGCCGCTGGAATGTGGAGAGGAAGAAGCGGTAGTTGAGCCGGACTAGCGGACACTCCGTTTGCTCCATGTATGTACTCGTACAAAGGGACAATTGCATAGCATTAATGTTGTGGATTCATCGGCGACCTCGTATGGGAAAGGCTTTTTGCGTATTCAAAGATTGGGATTGGCATCAGCTAGCCGGGCTTTTCGACCACAGAGAGCGAGGGAGAGACACGACTAGCAGTGACCCCGTCATCCCGTTAGCATATCATTCTGAAAACGGCGTAGTATTGCAATCATCAAAAAAGGTCTGAAACACTCTTAATAGCGGATCTTTGGCCAGTAAAATCCGTTTAGCCACCCTCCGTATTCTGGAAGAAAGGGGACCGGGGGATTCTATCATGAGGCTAGCTGCGTTGAACCAAGACAGCTTCTCCGTTTTGGGGCTGTCAGCCCGCCTCGGGTTGGAGGCCTAGACCGCTGCGGGGAGCAAGTTGCGAATGGTCTGGCGGTCTTTGTTCATACCAAGTCGTTGCTAAGAGCGCAGTAGCAAGGAGCTAGCTGCGGTAGTCGGGTTTGGACCGAATGATTTTCAGCTGCTTTGCCTCGGGACCACCTTGACCGAGAAAGACGTGGTCTTCGCGGGGCTCCAATAGTCTAGAAGTTTACTTGCACGAGCAGTCTCGCCCATGTTGAAGAGGTTGATAAAAACGTGAGAAATGGAGCTGTCGAAGCTTGGCGGATGGGAAAAGTAATACGCAGCTGTTGCGCTGAAATGATCATCTGACGGCGGCTTAGATGGGAGCAGGGGAGGCAAGGTGAGCTGCCAAACTATTGATCTAGAATGCTACTTTACGATTAGTCGTGTATCTGTATTGGTAAAGGATTCGACGTTGCCTCTCTGAGTTCTTCATTTGCTGAATCCCTGGAGCTGAGTCTAGGTTGATGCGAATTTTCGTGGCGGCTGCTATACGCCTCTTGTTAGAGGATCATCCGCTACTTTTTCATCAGTCTCAAAGACGTGTGGATGGTCCAAAACGAATAGAAAAAGTTACAGTAGAAAGGGAGGGTTGGGAAAAGAAGCGAGGCGGAGAAAGAAGAGGTGCAGCAAAAGAGACGCTGTAGTGCCTTCGTGTGCGCCTTTGCAAATCGTCAGGCCTAGGTTCACTACATGACAAAGCATCCTGGTTACCAGGAATAGATGGATCTCCCGGAGGTATCAAATGTAATGATAAATTCCGCTATTGCCCATAGGCTACCTCCTCGCGAGTATAAATGAATACCAAATCCCGCCCCTAGCAAGCTAATGTTATTTTGCAATGCTTTGGAATAACTACACATCTCACAAAGGTAACAAAAGTGTTATTTTTGTCGCAGCGCGGTGTGCTAAATGAGAATCTGGTTTTAATGTATTAATCCCGTCATCGGGAGACCCGGCAACCTTTGAAACTCGTGGCAAAAAGAAGACTAAGGAATCACAGAAGCGTCTTTGTAAATAGAAGCCAAAGAAGCAGTTGACGTTCAAGTCGCTGTCCAGCGCCTTAATAATATGGAGTCCAAGCCTCGATGACTGATTGTGGGGTTGTCGCCGGTTGACTCAGATCCGGTATGATTCCAACCTTGTCATGGAGGGGCAACTTCAACTTTTTTTCATGCTCGCATTCTCGTGTTGCTCGAGATAAATAATCGCACAAACTCTCCTTTGCGTCTCCTCTCTGTTCGCCTTTCAGAAACAACAACGTCTTGATATACGGTTGAAGATACCCACGAGCAAACACAGCGGCATTCGCACAATGGCCCAAAACCAGGCGGACGAGCTCTTGCGACGGCCGTTGTATGGTAAGTACAAATATCCAGTCGCATCACTGATTTAGTCATCACCCCACCAACTTGATACATTATGCTCGAGGCATGGGACGCGCTTCTTGTCTTTTCATCCGGCCTCAGCCTTGAAACTAGCTGACGCCTTGAGCTCGTGTTAGTTTACGATCTTCCGCCGGAAAGCCTCGTGGGCTTGACGCTGAAGCCGGACGCAGACGCCATTGCCGTCGCCGAAACTACAACCACAACACCCCCCAGCCAGGCCTCAGACGCGTCTTCCGATAGCTTTGTCGGCTCTCAAGCGTGTTCTCTCTGCAAACTCTCCTTTCCTACCGTACTAGACCAACGAAGCCATATCAAGTCCGATTTCCACAACTACAACCTCAAGCAGAAGCTGCGGGGACAGAGCCTCGTCTCGGAAGCCGAGTTTGAAAAGCTGATAGAGACTTTGGACGAGTCACTCTCTGGGTCAGACTCGGACGATTCGGAAGAGGACGAGGATGAAGGGCGCCAGGAATCTACGCTGACGGCGCTGCTCAAGAAACAAGCAAGGCTGACGGAGAAGCGAAATGGTGGCAGAGACAACAATGAGGACGGCGACGACGAAATCGGAGGGCGCCCGGGCAAAGGCAAGCCGCCACTGATATGGTTCAGTTCGCCATTGCTCCCGGAGAATACATACTTTGGCATTTATCGAGCTATATTCACCGACAAAGAGCAAGGCCAGCTTGATTTGGTCGATGTTATCAGGACGAAGCAGCTCGAGCCTATAGCAATGCCGAAGCCTGCCAAAGACGGAACACCGCCGCCCATCGCGTACAAAGGGCCTCATTTCTTCCTCTGCATGATTGGAGGCGGTCATTTTGCCGCCATGGTCGTCTCCTTGGCGCCGAGATCAGCAAAATCCGGCAGCACCACGATGAATCGAGAGGCCACAGTTCTCGCGCACAAGACCTTTCATAGATATACGACACGTCGGAAACAAGGTGGTTCCCAATCAGCCAACGACAATGCCAAGGGCAAAGCACACTCTGTCGGTTCATCTTTGCGTCGCTACAACGAAACTGCCCTGGTAGAGGACGTTCGTGCTCTTCTTCAAGATTGGAAGGGACTTTTGGAAACTTCCGAGCTGCTGTTCATCAGGGCGACAGGAACGACAAATAGAAGGACCTTGTTTGGGCCATATGAGGGACAAGTTCTCCAGGCCAACGACGCTCGTATAAGAGGATTCCCATTCAGTACCAGGAGAGCCACTCAGAACGAGCTAATGCGATCATTTATCGAGCTGACTCGGCTCAAAGTGCGAGAGATCGTCCCACTCAAGCCTGGGTCCGACAAGGTAAACTTGACACAAAACAAGTCTGTCACAACCGCCAAGCCTGCAAAACCAACTCCATCAGAAGAAGAGGAAACGGCAATTCTTCATACATCCCAGTTACAGGCCTTTGTGCGACGGTCCAAGTTACCCGCACTCCTATCATATCTCACAAAGAATGAGCTTAGCTCAGACTTTGAATTCTATCCTCCCGAACAAAACTACCATACCCCCCGCCTCCTACATTACGCCGCTGCACAAAACTCTGCGCCATTGGTGCTGGGGATTCTTACACGAGCCGGCGCGAACCCACTGCTTAAGAACATGGAGGGAAAGACGGCTTTTGAGCTTGCTGGAGATCGTCCTACGCGCGATGCCTTTCGAGTAGCACGCTCCGAACTTGGCGATGCCAAATGGGATTGGGACATAGGCAAGGTCCCTCCAGCCATGACCAAGGACGAAGCAGATCGCCGTGACGAGAGAGAAAAGCAAGAGGCCGAGAAGAAGGAGGCAGACAGGAGAAAGGCTGAGGAGGAGAGACTCCGTGCCGAAGGGCCAAAAGTGCCAGACCAGAAAGCGAAAAAGGGAAGCAATGTGGCTTCTATGATTGCAAAGACGCCGCAGGAGCGCAGAGAGGAGGAAGCGAGAGGACTGACACCCGAGATGAAGATGAGGCTGGAACGAGAAAGAAGGGCGCGAGCGGCAGAAGAGAGAATCAAGAGATTGCAAGGAGGTAGTTAAATAGATGTTTATTTCATAGTGGCCCAAGGGTGCCATGGGACATTGGGAATTGTATAGATATTGGCAAGATATAAGAAGCACATCCTGGGACCAATCTGCACTACTTTGATGTAAACTATCTACGGCTGGAATAAGTGAGTTGGCATATCTACTTCATGGAGGCTATTCACGAAGCTTGATATCTGCGCATGAAGTCAACAACTGTTAACATATTATCCAATACGTATTCGGCACCCCAGAGACTGCACGAGGTTCAAGAGTAAACCATTGCCTGATACAAGGTGGGCGGCCTCTACAAGTTATGGGAAGGAACTCTACGGTAGATGGACACTAAACAATGCCCAACATGGAGGAAATTCTAACAATAATGGCAGGAAGATGTCATAGTTATCTCCTCTTCGCTTATGGCGTGATGCTAAACGAGTGGCAGTCACTACTGGCAATGACCTGATACCAAGAAACGGCAGCTGCAGGAGCACCACAACCACTGTCGAGAAGTTCCCCCCTCCCACAACTCTTATTTTCCTGCACATATTTTCCTACAATTTCTTTTCTTCATAAAATTGATCAATCACCCAATTCCTTCCAATTATCCACTTTGACTCAAGATTGGCCGTCTTTCAGACCATCTCCTTGTGTTGACAATTGTCGAAGAAGGAAACTTGCTAACTGTCTCGTTCTGTTTGTACAAAGTTTTTCTCATTTCCACTCTATCTTTTCTGTTGTTTCAAGTTTTTTTCCTTCTTTCTATGCATCTTCCACTTTTCCTTTCCTTCTCTTGTCAATATCCTAGGGCTCTCCCTTGGACCTTCTCTTGCCCCCCATGCTCTGGGTTCGCTTTCTCTTCGTTGCTGGTAGTGGTTGACGCTTCTTCGGCTTGACAAGTCTTTGATAGTGCTATTGTCATTGTTTTTCTCCTGGTGGGCCTTGTGATTGCCCGGAAGCCTCTCATCTCAAGGCACCCCTCTGCTTCCATTCTGCTCCAGCACCTTCCATACACTGCCAAACGCAGCATCATATTTCCAATCATGTCTTGCCGGCGCCGTCCAATCTCCTTTCAGATTCTCAAAGTCAATGCCTTGTTGACTGAGATAAGCTTGTTGCTTGAAAAGGAATTCTCGCTCCCCCCCCCCCCCCCCCCCCTTCTCCTGGCGCACTTGAGCGTTCTTTTCTATCTGCTCGCTTATTTCCTACTCTATGCGCTTTGGTGTTTTTTCTATCTACCTACCCATCCCGTCTTCTTCTTCCTCGTCTTCTTCTTTCTCATCCCCTATTCATTCTCCTTGTCCCACAATGCGTCAGATACAATCCCTAACGTCATCTCTTCGACTAGTCTCTCGCAGCCTAGAAGAAGTGTGGTGGCTCAAATCGATCGATCGGCCGGCCGAGAGTATAATGAAAAATATATAATACATAATGGGGTGCTTTGGGTTGGTGATGTCGAAGACACGGAGAAGGGGACTGAAGCGAGCCACGACACACTACACTTCTTCCTCTCGCAAACCAAGACCGTCGAAGAACAAGTCCATTCTGAGAACACACTGCCTCTCGCGATGCTCAAGATTGCACTGAGAACGACCGAGCGACTCAACGATTTGGGCGTGAGAAAAGAAGCGAACAAGACATCTTGTTATTCGAAAGCCAATTCGAACCACCGAAAGCCTGCACACACAAGCGAGACGGACGTTCTGTAGATCGATCGTATACGGCCGAGTGTATAAGAAAAATAATACAATACCCATATACATATAATGGGTTTTGTGGGGTTCGCATTGGTGCAAAAGAAGTTGCAAAGAACTATGTGCTTTTCGACAAGCAATTCAGAACGTCCATGTCATCTGTGAGAAGATCGAACAACCAAACAGCAAACGATCGCATACGGTCGAAAAAGCAAAACGATCGCATACGGCCGAGTGTACAAGAAAAATGATTATATAAATTAGGATTTTGTGGGCAAAAGAAGTTGCCAAGATCTATATGCTTTCTCGACAAGCAATTCAGAACGTCCACGTCATTTGCGCAAAGATTGAACGACCGAAAGAGCAAACGATCGCATACGGCCGAGTGTACAAGAAAAACAATACTATATATACATATTGGGGTTTATTGGTGCAAAGGAAGTTGCAAAGAACTATATGCTTTTTCGACAAGCTCTTCAGAAAGTCTACCTCGTCTTCGCGAAGATCGAACGACCGAAAGAGCAAACGATCGTATGCGGCCGAGTGTACAAAGGGAAAAATCACTATGTATACTAGGGTTTAAGGCGCAGCAATCGAAGTGACATACGAAGATTCGTGGTCTTTATCCGACAAGAAACACAGCCGACGTCAAAACACGTTGCTGAACGAGCTTGAAGTTGTTCAGATGCCAGAGGCTCATCTATTTGCGCGATGGTTCAGACAACCTGTAAGTGAACGCCTTTCCCTTTCAAATATCATTTTCATACTAGTGTACGAATAGTGAACTACACGTCCGAGGTCAATTTCATGCATGCAGTGTCTGATCCTAGGAGGCAATCTATTGGCTGTTTGCTTTCTCGGCTATGCAGTCCATATCACATTTCGTCACGCCCCGTGGCTTTCATGCTCGCTCATACAACCTGGTGAAAACGAGGACCGTCCGTCAGTTTTAATTTTCAAATGGTAAGCAATCTTCCCCGCTATCTGTGCGTAAAAGCTGAGTCTCGGATAGCAGAGGTCAGCACATCGACTCACTCTCCCATCTTTCTTTGCTCATCTTTCTCTTGCGGAGCCAAACGGATTGCTCCTCAAGAGTGGCCTCCAATAATCACATATAGTGAGTAGCTTGCGTCCATTGATTTCACAATGGAGAGTGCTGACCGCCTGAAGAAGCCATCCTGATTCTCGCTACAGGCGTAGGAACCTCGAAGCAACCACCATTCCGCCATTGTTCAATTAGACACATGAATGGCTATGCGATGGCAAACAGCCATCCTCTTTGGCCAAGTTTTCCGACTAGTTGTGCCCCCCGCAAATAGCAGATTTGCAACCTGGGGGTATTCCTCTAACCGGTCTCAATTCACCAATCTTCAACTTCACATTCCAGCCTTTCTATCCCTTGATTATAGAGTCTCGGCTTTTGCATTTCATAATGCAGGCAATCCAAGTCTCAATGTTACTTCGGCACTGAATATACTGTTCAGCTGATGGTGGCCTCCGTGCCATCGGGCCGATGGGCAAGGAGCGAATGGGTGTCAACCTCTCTACAGTTCACCTACACACATTAGTGAACATTGGGTGATTGTGATGCAAGCTCCAGCCAAATCAAAAGAGCACACCTTCGGTTTAAGGCCAAGGCCCTGTTTTTCGATCAGGCTTATTTGACAGTGTCGAGCCGATACAACATAAAGATGATGCATATACACTATACTGATGCAGCAACTGTTCTCAGTCCGAGAATTGGCCGGGTTCTCTGCATCATCATGCGATCGATTAGACTCAATGCTGATATGCACCCCGCAGAGCTAGAGCAAGTTTCCATCACGAGTTTATCCTATTAAGGTATGTGGTATTCTCCGACTTGCAGCGGAATGGAGCATATATCCGTCGCCAATTTTGGCCTCCACGGTAGCCGAACGATGCTGTCGGATTGCAAGATGACTGACTGCTGCAAGTATATATAGACGCAGCTTTTCAACTGGCAGAACGGAAAAGGCATGATGTTCTGCTTCTAAGTCGAAACTCCCATCAAAACGTAGCATCTCTCAGTCAACAATGAGGTCGACCGGCATGCTAGCCACCATTTCGGTGATCTTGTCCAACGCTCTAGGCTTCGTCGCCGCACAAGGCTCAAGGCCAGTGTTTGCTCATTTCATGGTATAGTCCGCCCCATCGCTTGAGACGTCTGAATGAAAACAATTCACTAATAATAGACCATTTAGGTGGGAATTGTTGAGAAGTTCACAGTCCAAGATTGGTTAAATGAGATCCAGCAAGCCCAAGCCATCGGCATTGATGGATTTGCCCTAAACTGTGCTCCTCCTTGGGTCGATAGCTATACGCCAAAGCAGCTTGACAATGCATACACGGCCGCACAGCAGCTCAACTTCAAAATGTTCATTTCCTTTGACTTTGCGTACTGGTCAAACGGCGACACGGGCAACATCACAAGCTTCGTGGGCAAATACGCTGCCCATCCGGCCCAGGCTATATTCAACGGAGGCGCACTCGTCAGCACCTTTGTTGGAGATAGTTTCAACTGGAACCCTGTGAAAAGTGCACTGGGCGGCCAAAAATTGACAGTGATTCCCAACATGCAGGACCCTGCCTCAGCTGGAAGCGTCAGCGCCCAGTTTGGCATCGACGGGGCATTCTCGTGGTATGCTTGGCCAACGGACGGCGGCAACAGCGTCATTGAAGGGCCCATGACAACCGTGTGGGATCAGAGGTACATACAAGGTCTCGGTGGTCGGCCATACATGGCCCGTAAGTCTTTCCAAATGATCCTTAAACACCAAGGTCGGGTCTAATACTATTACTGAGGTAGCGGTCTCGCCATGGTTTTCAACCCATTTCAATACTAAGAACTGGGTCTTTATCTGTGAAGAGCAACCAGTACGCCGATGGCAACAGATCCTCGACATGAAACCATCTCTGGTTGAAATCATTACGTGGAATGGTCAGTATACTTGTCTCCTCAGCAAAAATGGAAGGGGGTGCTTTTCTGGATATGCTAACCAGTGAATATCTGCCATCACAGACTTTGGTGAAAGCCACTATATTTCGTAAGCGAAACAGTCTCCTTGCCTTCATGTTCCGAAGCGGATTTTCTAACCGGATTACGTTCCGTACAGCGGCTCAGAGCCCAACCACAGCGATGACGGGTCCTCCCAATGGGCCAATGGCTTCCCCCACGATGGCTGGCGTGATATATACAGGCCGTACATTGCTGCCTACAAGGCCGGCGCGTCTTCTCCTACGGTGAATACGGATGAAATTGTTTACTGGTATCGCCCGGTTCCTCATGCTGCCCGATGCACCAACGATCCGTTGGGCATCCCTCGAGGTGCTGAGTTGATGGACGATCTGGTCTTCGTGAGCACGTTGCTCACGCAGCCTGCACAGCTGACCGTCACAAGTGGAAACGTGGCTCCCGTTACCGTAAACGCTGACGCCGGGGTTCACGTTTTCAACTTTACCATGGGCGTTGGCAAGCAATCCTTCTCCGTCTCCCGCGGCGGCAGGCAGATTCTAGGCGGCCAAAGCGCAAAGGACATCGTCAGCTCGTGCCAGACGTACAACTTTAACGCATATGTGGGCAAGTTCTAGGCCAAGCGGACCAAGGACACATATGCTGCCAAATAGCCACACAAAGCGAGAGGATGATCAAATTTCCCTGCCGCTTTATTGATTGATTTATTGAATTTCGCCTCCAAACACTGAAGGCAACCGCCATCGGTGACCATCCAACCAGTGACAAGAAAAAGAAAGCACCGTCGCCTGCAAGCTCATGATGTTACGAGACGGCGCGAATAGTACGTGCTAAAACAAGCCAAGGGTGCAGCCAGGCTAAGGCATGAAATGTCTCGCACGGTGAGGCAGAGGCCAGGCGTCTGGCTCTACTGTAACTATTGAGCCACCTGTGTTGTGCGTCCATCCACCCCGGATGCAATCACAGATGTGAATTCTGATTGAAATCCTTGTGTCGTCAAAAACGTGGCAGCCCTCCAACTATTTTCGCTAGCCTTCTCTGCTTCTTTGTCACCAGGCTTCCGCATTGGTGCTGCGGCTGATAGATGACCATCACATCCCTCAAGATTCAACTCCGAGATAGTTTTAAAGACACTTGAGAGGTCCCTTGCAGGGGAGCCAATAGGCACATCATCCAAGAGGGGCTTCGGGCGGAGTTGGCTCCGTTCAAAGTGGCCCAAAAGCCACCCAGATCATCATGTCCGCCATCAGGGTAGACGGAAGAAGACCCCGATTTCTCTCGCTTGCCTAATCTGGAGCACCGGGGATGGAATAGCATCTTCTTTCTTCTCTTTTTTTTTCACCATCTTCCAACTCTCCATATCAAGCCGATGGCATCCCCCCGTCCTTCTTCTCGACACGAACATGTCCTCTGGCACAGCGGACTCTTTGCCCCGGAACTTTAGAATCATCCCTGCACTCACCCTTTTATGCCCTTGACAATGCAAGATACCGCCTCGCCACCGGCCAAATATCGCCGGGTCTCCTCGGAGCGTGCAGATTCATTCGACGATGTGCCATCCTTGATCGAAAACGAGAGCGCATCTGCGCCGACGTCCGCTACTTCGCCTACACACACGCCTACTTCCATGTCTCTATATGCGCCTCCTCCATTACCTGCGCCCTCTGCGCCCATCTACTACACCAAGACGGGGCGGCGGCCGGTGAAGAAAGCCGTCAGTGTTGCCTGCGAATCTTGCCGGAGGCGCAAAATTAAGGTATTGTTTTGGCCCCCGCCTGTAGAGAATTGCTTGGACTTCAAGCTTACGAGGACAACTTTGCCAAAAGTGCAATGGGAACCGGCCGAAATGCGCAGGTTGCCAGTCGCGCGAGGTCGAGTGCAACTACGACTCGGTCTATCGTGAGGAGACAAACACGGCCGTGCTGAAGCGCAAGTATCGAGAGGAAAACAAAAAATCAACTACGTTTGAAGAGCTGTTCAATGCCCTTCAGAACTGTTCGGAGAAGGATGCAATGACCATGTTCAGCCTGGTACGCCAGGGTGTTGATCCTGTGACCCTCTTGAGGCAGATCAGGGAGGGTGATCTTCTGCTGCAGCTTTCTGTCGTCCCGGAGACTCGGAGGCGCTACCAGTTTCCCTATCTTGCCTCCATGCCAGCCCACCTTCAAACTCCGGATAACCCATATCTCAAGTCGCTGCTGTATGAAACTGCCTTCCACGGAGTTGGGCAAGAGGACCCCCACGGGAGCACACAGTCGGGACAAGCGCAACACAACCAGTACCTGAATATCTATCTGCAGCCGTACCATGCTGCTGAACTCTTGGACCCTCTGATTGACCACCTCAAGCCCTCTGAGTGGACACTGGTAGACACAGACGACCACTTCATGCGGACGCTCATACGAGCTTACATTCTCCACGAGTATCCGACCTTTCCCATATTCCACAAGGACATATTTTTCCAGGCCATGATTGACCATGACTTGCGGTTTTGCACGCCAGTGCTCGTCAATGCCTTGCTAGCAGAAGCATGCGTAAGTGTAGATGATCCAGTCCAAGTCGTCTAGACTCGAGTAAACAAGATAGATACGTGTACACTGACCCCGGGATTCAAGCACTCCCTCATGGGTATACCCAATCGCAACCAGTTCTGGGTCCCCCACAGTCTCAGATATCGCTTTCTAGCAGAGGCGAAGCGCTTATGGGAGCTGGAAAGCCACAAGGTGGACTTGGTCACCGTGCAAACTGCCACGCTCTTGAATCTCATCTATAGCCACAACGGCATGGACAAGGTCGGTCAGCCGTACCTGGTGCACGCTCTCAGAGTCGCTCAGCAGTTGGATCTGTTTGGAGATCATGCGAACGAGAAGAATGACAGAATGGTTCATGCTCGCGTCTTTACAGCCTGGGCTCTCTTCAACTGGCAGTGGTAAGTGGATTCTTGTCACACTCCTCCTCTTGGTGGCCTGTCCCATTCGCCGCGTTTATCTCGTCTCCTTCCGCTAATCTGTTGATCCACCTCATGATAGCATACAATCTTACTACTATTATCGAGCTCCTTTGATTCCTGATCCGCCGGCCAAGCCGCTGCCCAGTCCAGATGAGCATCCGTTCTGGTACGGAGATTTCAAGCTGAGATATCCACTGAGCTCAACATTGGTTCCTGCACAGTATGGGCATTACTTTAAAGCAGTTTCCGGTCTGCGCGCAATCATCCACGATATGGCTGCAATCAGCTATAGCCAGGAGGAAAATAACACGGTATCTCCCAGCCGGATCTGGTCCATTTTCTCGAGATTGGAGAAATGGTACCTGGGGCTGCCCGCTGCTCTCTCTCCTCGCAATATCGTCTTCCCATGGCAGCTCAAAGTGCAGTACGTTTTTCCTCGGCCGTTTCCCCTGTGGCTGTCTCCTCTCCCACATTTTGGTAGAAATGCGATCGTGACATCGTGACAGAGGACTGACAAGGCGATTCTATAATAGCATGGAGCTTTACTTGGCCACCATCCTCTTCTCCACCAAGCAAGCCGGTGTTTCGGAAGCCTCAACCATCATGAAAGAAACTGCCCAAAAGACTGCTGCCCATGCAGCCGCTCGCCTCGAGACTGTTGGTCGCCTCTACTTTATCAGGCACAGCTTTGAATATTGCGATCCCTTCTTGACCATTCATCTATCGTTTATAGCCGGCGGGGCAATGGACAGCCTCAAAATGACTCCTGCCGACGACGTAGAGACTATCAAGTCTCTAAGATCGACAATCATTTTGAGCCTGAAAGGACTATACGATCAAGGCCAACACATCCACCTCACCTCGGTCATCTACCGGCTGCTGAGGGATCGACTGGCGCCCCGCGATCTAGCGATCCTCCAGAACTACGTGGTTTGGGATCCTCTCACTCCCGAAGAGCCGTTATTGGTCGAATACGCCCAATCCCATTATCCTCTCACAATGGGAAACAAAGATGAAGATCCAACTTCTGTGCGGCTTGAAAACTTGGTCAAGGAATATGAGCAGCTGTCGACAGAGGACACTGTATGATTTTGACTGCAATTCTTCCGAGAGAGCTGAGTAGAATCTCGGCCGACTTGGCTTGGTATGCCGAACCAGCAAGTCATTTTGCTGTCTTTATTTGCAGATGATTGGTGATTTGAAAATGAGCCAGAGGGCGTCGAGCTTGAAGCGACGCGCTCACCTTACTATTCCTCGTTGAAATGGCAATGAGTGGAACAATTGTCGCTGTCGGTCATTCAACTAGAGAAAAGACAACAGGAACGATGGTGGGTGGGGCATGTGTAAAATTGTCTCGTTGAACCGCACAGAGATGCCCCAAATAAGGAGAACAGAATGAGAAACAAAGAGAAACCCACGACACCATCACCATGCAAAAGGCAGGTCGAACACACACAAAAAGAGAAAAGAAAAGAAAAGAACAAAAAGACAAAGCATCACAAGTTCGCTGAACGCAGTGTCAAAATGCAACAAGTTTGACTCGACTTCCAGGGTAGGTTGACCAACAACTCGGAGCAAGCACAATACACACAGACACACGATGTGATCTGCGCTACAATACGAAACGAGGTACCGGTTTCTGGGTTACCGTTTCGTTTCTCTCTAAAACCTACATACCCTCTCTTTGGCCGTGGCAAGGGAGAGAGTAGGTAACGGGCGATGTTTCGATCCAGACAGTATGGCGCTACTCACGCTCGTGAACGTGTATGCAGAGAACCTGCCAGCTATAGTCCTCATCCTCATGTGGGCGTATGGACGCACCACACTCTTTTGGCAATGAACAGGACATCAGCGGGTCTGGGAAGGTTCTGACGGTCCCGGGCATTAGCATTCAGCCAAGATAACCCCCGGTCAGTTCAGATCGTACCTGGCTGTGCCACAAAAAGCAATGTCCTCAGATTCCGACGCCACGCGGAACAGGACAGTCATGCCCGGTACTCCGTACAAGCGTAAAGCAATGATACGACCACTACGGAGTATTACACACTTGCAATGCTCAAATGATATCCTCCGAACAGCAGAGGCACTAGCTCGGTGCGTATGACAGAATCCCTGTGGGGCCTAGTGTAGCAGCGCATGGATGGGGTCGAGCTTCGCCACCTCCGTTGGATCGGATAGCCGCTTCAGGTTATCCTCGTGGTGAAACAACGTCTTGGTCTGCCGAATCAACTTGCCCGTTGACGAGCGATTCGCGACTTGCGCCATACCGAGCGCCCGTGTGCTGTCCACGTAGTGAGATGCAGGCATATGTGAAGCAGTATCACACCACGCAATTTGCCTTGACTGGACGGCTTGTCAGCATTGCTCTTGAGTTCGTATTTGTAATGCAACGAGAAAAGCTGTACTCCGTGTTATTTACCAAGTCTCATCATATTCTCGTGCAGCAAAAGTCTTCAAATATACTAGGTACGTTGAGAATGAATGCTGCTTCTTTTACAGGCAGATAAGATAGGACATGTGAAGTTCATTTGAGCATTGAATGCTCCAATCACGGAAGTTCATCCTGGCTTGCCGGTCTGTGCGAGTGCACGGAGCAGCAATATTCCAGAGTAGGTATTTCGTACGGCACACCAACCTGTAAACGCAAAGCAGGTCCATCTTTGGTGGATGGACGGCTTGTGCGCAGAAAGAAGACTGACACGGAGAAAAGGCTGAAGGGGTCTCAGATTAGCATGGCATCCTAGTCCAAGCTTGGAGGAAGCCGGCGGTAGTAGTACTCGTAGTGACTGCTACTACTCTAGAGTGTATCCATACCAAATTTTATCCCCGCCGTCAATCGATAGCCAGGTAATAGTCGGTCGTCCAGTACCCAAACGGAATAGTAAAGAGGAACCATCAAGTAGCACGAAAAGACAGAGCTTCTCGTTTCCATGTTGGCTACCAGGGTCCCATGGCCTTCATGTTGTCGTGAATGTTGAAATCTCTCACCGTGTATAGGTAGGCACACGAAGTAATCTTAGGCCAGCTTTCTCAATCTCGATTGATTTTCAGAATTGAATGCGAGAGGAGCTCAGGATTAGTATTTCACAGAGCGAGAATATGCTACTGGCACTTGCTGGTGTACGAAAAAGTACTGACAGAGTCTCGGTTCTGCCATGAATGCGGGCCGCTATGGTGGGTTCACAAGCGACGATCTCGGAGAGAACCGACAATGGCAACTGTCGATCCGGAGCATGAATATTACTGCCAAAGAGAGAAAACATGATTGCTATGAGCTAGAGGGGCGTCAATGCAACGTTTGCGGCAGTAAAACATCCCACATATCCAAAGGCTAGAACTTACAGGAGTTTGGACATTGTTAACGGCTCCTCCTGAAAAGGACCTGGGTGCGCCTGGAAGTCGCCTCGGCGGTGTTGGGTCGCACTTCTCCGTACTCCGTAGCGACCAGGTGCCATTGCTAACAAGGAATCCATCGGAGAAGGATATAGGAGCAATTTAAAGGGATGTTGCTGAGGGTTAGCGGCGGTAGTGAACAGGGTAAACACTCACGACTAAAACGGAAACGCAGGCTTGGCATTGGCGGTATCCCTGAAGAGCGTGAAAATATTTGCAAATATCGACCAACATGGTGGATATGAACATGCAAACTCATGGTAAACTGGCGTCGTACCCAGTACCTGTTTAGTCATTGTCGATTAAGCGCAGCTGAATGTATTGGCTTGAAAAGGTGATCTCCCACCTTCTAGTCAAGATAGCTTGAGAGTATCCATCGACAGGAAGACGAATGCCCTGAACCTGAGTCAAGAACCTCCGAGCATGGCCAAGTGGTTGAGCTAAACGGATTGCAGTCATGGGAACTGGTCTTGAAAACCAGCTGGAACTCGGCATCATAGAGCAGGGAAAGAAGGAAATTATGCCACTAGTCTGGAGATAACGGCCGAATGACTTTAGGCAGTAGAAAGGGATACTACTCCTTTTCATTTTCCTCTTTTGGAGGGCTAGGTGACTGCTGCGTGGGTGGTTTTGATATATCAAAACGTGGACGCTGTCTTATCATCTATCACTCCTGTTAGTACGGAGCGCGGAGATTGTATATACGAATGGAGCAAGCATTTCAGGCAAGCAGGCCCATGAGAAAATGTGGCTCTGGGAGTTGACATGACAGAACAAGCATACCTAGAGTGGCTACACTTACGGAGCAATGGGGTGAGAAGAGGTTCAAGTGCTCGGCACCGAATATCCCGTGCTGCGAACCCAGTCATAGTGAGCCATGCAGTTGCTGCTTGTCAGTTGCACACTGTTGTTACCCGAGGTGCCGGGCATGGGTTGGGTGCCAAGTACCAGCGTGTTGGGCGCTGTAAATTGAAAGTTGTTCGCAGACAAGCTTGCAGTGTGGAAACGGGGCCACAAGACGTCGGTTCAGCGTCGCTTGGAGATTTTCGTCCGCCGACAGGCAGGGGGGACTCGCCTCTCCTGTGGCATGATTGATTCGACGGCAGGGTTTAGTAGCGGAGGCAGTGTTCATGGGGGAAAAAGGGGGGGGGGGGGGGGGGGGGGGGGGGGGGGGGGGGGGGGGGGGGGGGGGGGGGGGGGGGGGGGGGGGGGGGGGGGGGT